TTTTTTTGCCAAAAATTTAGCAATTCAATGGCAACCAAAATTCAAAAACCAACAAAAAAAATTAAAAACAAAACCTGACTTATTTAGTAAGTTTTCAAAACAAATAACCAAATTTAAAATTGTGTTTAGTTCAGAAAATCGTTTTTCCTCCTTATTGACACCTATATTTAGCCTAGAGTAAAAATCAACAATTTCTTTTTAGAATGAATTATAAATGTCAAATTCTATGCTCATGAATTACTTTATAAATATCTTTTTTTGGTATGTTAAAATGATGAATTAGTTAATAAAAGGACAATTCTTTCCTTTCTGCCCCTCCTCATCCACTTTATAAATATTATCAAGGTTTGAAAACAAACATACAATTTTAGTACCTGCTTCTTCTTTTCTTTTTTTTTTTCTTTTTTGTAAAACATTTCCAAAATCTTGGAAACTTCTTGTGAATACATGTCATTGGTTTCTTTTTTTTAAAGAGTTTTTATTAAAAATACTATTAAAATTTTGGCAATAAAAGCAAAAAGTGAATAACGAGCTATTTGTGTTTTTTATTTTGGCCAAGATAAATATTGCTTGGTTGAAATTGCAAGTCAAGGTCCTTGTTGTCCATAATATTTATGCAAATGCCTTTAGGCTATTACAATGAAACTTCAAATAAGGTAACAAAAATAAGGACCGTTTGCGAGTCTTTTTCAATGCCGACATTAGGTATATCTCATTCTTAAAAAGTGAATACAATTTCACAAAAGATTAATTATATGCATTGAGAGAGAAGAAAATTGAAAAAAAAAATTGAAAACTTGGCAACTAAGTAACATAATTGAATTGGATAGTGATTGATATATATTATGGTTGTATACAATGCATATTATATTTATTAAAAATTTATTATTTTTTATATGAAATTAAAGACAGATAAATTTAAAAATATAATCATAAGTACAAAATGTAGGAATTAATTAAATTGATTGTATTTATATTATATTTTAATAGATGAATTATGATAAGTATCAAAAAGTGTATTGAACCTAATGCAAATCAATCATTTTTCAATTGAATTAACGAGCTACCCTAGGGGCCAAACATTTTTTATAGAGTAATCCAAAATTTTAAGTGTTCTTTTAGCTTCAAAAATTAATCCATCCAAACAGAAGATAAATTGGTTGGGCAAAAAAATTTAGCTAGGGATTCCATCCCCAACCATGCCCTCAACAGTCAAAACAAATGTGACAACTAATCCAGAATCCAACCAATATTTCGTTCAAGTTGCCATCCTCCTCCTACAAAAATGAATTTTGATAAAAGATATCCAAAAAGTCAAGGTAGAAACCCTTAGAAACATTCACAAGAGAGAAAGAAACTCTCATAAGAGAGGAGAAAACTCTCACCTTTAATCTACCCTAACCATTGAGGGAGAAAGAGACAACAATGCCTAAGGGGTTAGCTTCAAAACTCTTAATTCATAGTTCAAGAGTTGCTTTGGTGAGTGGAAGGGGGTTTAGATCCTACAGTTGAAGAAGGTTGATTTTCTCATCATCTGACTTGTAGTAAATAGGAGCTATTGCTTGTTAGTAATATAGTGACTCATAGAGCTTGCAAAAAGACTTCCATATAGCTAGTGATGTTTAATTGGTGGTCTTTATACTTGGTAACCATATTATTGCCCCTATAACGCTTAGTCCTATAATCAGTACTATTAAGTAGCTTCTTATTTGTCATTGAATGATTCGTTTATGAGTGTTTAGCACCTTGGTATTAGATGTTATAGATTTAATTCTTGTTTCTCGATTGGCTATTATTTAGGAATTATAATTCATTATAATATCTATCTCTTTATCTATTAGTAAAATCACATTATTTAATTATTATAAAAAGCATTTGGGAATCATAATTACTTATCATTCTTCTAAATTTGGTAGTTCATAACCATGACAGAAAAAAATTAAAAAGAATACATGTTTGGGGTCCATCGTTATGTCCACATAAATAATTTTTAAGGTTACTAAAAAATAAGATGGGTGTGTTTGGTTTGGCTGTTAAGAGCAACTAACAGTTATAACTATTAATTGATAATTGATAAAATAATTGATATTTATTACTTAACTGTTTGAAATTAATTTATAAATTAATGTTTTTAAGTATCTTAACTAACTATACACTAATAAAATTAAACAAACTAAATACATTTATAATATTTCATATAACCTTAATAATTATTTGTGTGATGATAACCTGGCCATGTTTTAGAGTCTTGTTCTTTGATATCATAACCAAGTTGCAAGTCAAGGTTTTTGGTCTTTGCTGTCCCCGCCAATCTTGTAAGTCAAGGTCTTTGCTCTTTGATACCATATCCAAATTGCAAGTTAGGTTTTTGGTCTTTGTTGTCCACGCCAATGTTGTAAGTCAAGGTCTTTGCCGTCTATAATATGAACAATGTTTCCTTGGGTATTAAAATGAGACTTTGCAGTTTTGTAATTTGTTTTTTTATTGTATATTTTATAATAATTAATAAAATAATGATCACCATAATATTAAAAAATTTATTTTTTCAAAGTTTCTTTTGAGTGTCTCCGATATTCATTCTATTATTCCTTTTCAGATTTAAAAAAATATGCTTCTCCAAAGTATTAATTGACTTGGTGGCAATAACATAAATTAATAGAAAAATTTCCTGAAAGGTTTTGTACATTGAAGGTTAATGCTAAGTCGAGAAATCTTATCAAAAAAATTATGTACATGAGGGTTATTGCTAAGTCAATAAGTCTCATCGAAAAAATTAACAGCAAAAGCTGATAGGAAGATCAAAGTCCCTTAACATAATTGCTTTTCTTTCTTTCCTTTTTTTTTTTTTTTTAACAACGTTTAGAAATTGAGGAAGGAGGAATCACAATGCAAATGATAAAACCACTGGCATGATTATATATTAGTGCATTTCCACCATTAATTACCACTGCATAACATAGAATAACATAATTGTTTTTAAATGCCGTATTGGAAGGAAATGTTTAATAATTTGACAATAACTATCACAATAATATAGTATTTATGACTTTTCTAAATTAGTGGATCATAACCATCTCCATCAATAATAGATATGCCGTATTTGAAGGGAATGTTTAATAATTTGACAATAACTATCACAATAATATAGTATTTATGACTTTTCTAAATTAGTGGATCATAACCACCTCCATCAATAATAGAGTACATGTTTACGTTTAGTTTAAGTTCTAAGTCAATGTCATCCCGGTTCATAAAATGAAATACAAATGCCAATAGTATGTTTGGTTTTATAAAAGGATATTGATCAATACATCCACCAATTCAACACACTATACAACACACTCATTAAAAATCATTATATTTTAATATAAAATTAAAGATAGACAAACTTAAAAATATAGTCATGCACATAAAAAGTAAGAACTGACTAAATCAACTGTACTTATATTATATTTTTAATAATTGAACCAAATAAGTATTAAAAGGTGTGTTTGGTTTGGCGATTAGGAGCAGTTGGTAACTGTAACTATTAATTGATAACTGATAGAATAATTAATATTTATTGTTTATCTATTTGAAATCATTTTATAAACTAATGTTTTCAAACATCCTAACTGACTATAAACTAATAAAATTGGAAAATCGAACATATTTGTAATATTTTGTGTGACCTTAACAATTGTTTGTGCAGCCATAACCATATTTGTAATATTTGTAATGTTTAGGGTCTTGGTCTTTTTTTTTTTTTTTGGTACATCAGATAATGGGTTGTATACTATGAGATAGTCCTCCCCGTCACAAACCCCTACCCACCCGCTTTAGGATTCAAACTTGAGATCTCTAAAGTGGAGACTCAAATTCTTGATCATTGGTGCATCCCTAAGAGAGTAGTCTTTGTTGTTCATATCTTGTAAAGTCAAGGTCTTTCCTCTTTGCTGTCCACATGTATTGTAAGACTCACCTTTAATCAATAGTTATAAAATGTGTAAATTGTGTAGTGCAGTTATTTTTTGTTACAATGAAATGTAAGAATATTTGTAGTCAAAAAAATAAATTGTTAGAGCAATTTATGGTAGTTCGTTTATTGCAGTCCCAAACCAAAAGGAAAATAAAATTTTATTTGATTTATAGTTTAACTACGGATTAACTATTAGCACAACCACACAAGCCCCAGAATATTCGTTTCTTCATCTTTATACATGCTCATGAGTGAGGTTTTAGAGGTTCCGCAAAGGCAAAAGTTAAGAGCCAACAAATTAGGTATATTTTCTTAAATTTAACAGTATTTTAATAAATACTCTTATTTATTTCAAAATAATTATCGTTCTTGACTAAAATGTATCCCAAAGTAATTGTCATCAATTTCATTTTATAAGGTAGACAAATATTTTTTTTCTAACCCTATCATTCTCTTAATTTTAATTATTTATCATATCGGTAAAATAAATAAAAATATTATAAATGGTTTTCAAATTCTTAAATTAAAGAAAAAGTTAAAAACAAAGTTATTATGAAACAAGAGAAATAACAACTAACAATTTTTCTTTTATTTGTCCCACTTTGGACCTGCACACTTAGAAATAATTGAGGGGAAAACAAAAAATACAATAATTATTGTTTGAAACGCCGAATTTCTCCTTAATAAAAGCATTTTCTCTTTATCAATACGTTA